ACCTCATATTCTTTCATAGGGCCCAAAATTGCTAGCGGCGCCCCTACGTCCACCGTCACAGTCATTCTGGTCAGTGGTCACTGATTTTTCGCTTCGCGTAAAGCTTGAGTTCAGTGCAATATGTTGCTGCCGTGTGCCTCTGCGGCTTCCGTCAGCTGCGTTGCGTTGTCAACAGGACCAAAACACCAGCAGCAACAGCACACCGGAGCTTCACTTCTGGACTGTCCGCTGGCCATCAGCAGATACCTTACCTGTCTGGCTGCATTAACTCTGCCACGTCTTAGCAAACAGCCGGTAAACGGAACGCATGCAATGTTTTCATTTGGAGACACGACGTCCGTTTAAAAGCGCGAGAGCAGTAGGTGCACTTCACCGGCACTTTAACTGACCGGAACTGACAGGGAATGCGGAGATGCGCCCGGCCATGCCCTGCGCTCGTCTTCCCCGTATTTATGCCGCGATATGTGCTGTTAATTGAGAACTGCTTTATAGAGAATGGGATGAATTAGGCACAAATGTGTTCATATGCAGCTTGTGGTATTATTATAGGTGGTTAAGAACCTCTTTTTCCCCCATTAAAAGGACACCGGACAGCTCTTGTGCCCAGAGCCACTCCTGTCCCGTTAGATCACCATCAAAAACATTCAGCACACTGTAGTGACGTGCTATCTGTCAGTGTTAATAAGAATTATATAATGTTCAGACTGTAATAATGGAGTCGGTGCGTCTTCACGCTAATTTATCGGGCTTTATAGTTGGCTTTTATAGACTAACGTTAGTTTTCTGCTTTTGTGCCTTAGTTTAGACAGCAGCAGTTGGTCCACGTTAGCACCTCATGCTAGTATATTATGCTGACATATTCACCAAACCTAGATGACATAACAAACAATCCGACCATTAACTAACACTATGAGCGATCACTATGAGAGAGTGAAGATTGAGCTCCAGCAGATGAAGGAGGCGGAGAACGAGGCCGCGGCCGACGAGGAGCAGCTGTCCCCGGCCACAGCCTCTTCAATCCCCGCTGACGTTTCATTTACGGCACGGAGAGACCTGTCCAGAAGTAGCGTTAACGGGAGAAGTCGGAGTAAAAGTAGGAGCAAAGCAGACGGTCATGAGAGACAGGTGAACGGTAAACAGCTTGCGGATCCGACAGCGCAGAAGTCAGACTCTTCACAAGGACAGAGCCGTGTGAGCAACGAGCCAAACCTTCACAATATAGGAACTGCAAGGCTTTTAAAGAGTAAAACGGCGGCAAACGGTTACGCTGAGTCATGTCTGAGACATACAGATGGGAAATGTGAGCATCATGGCAAAGAGGACGGGAGCAAAGCGGCCAAAAAGAGGAGAGGTGTGACGGTGGACACCTCCAAGGCAAAGACGTCTCTCGAGGCGCTGAAGATGAGCATCAGACAGCTGAAGTGGAAAGAGGTGAGAGAACCCCTGTTTTCTGACCACCACATAACCTTAGACTTTATCTATCTGTCATTCCGATTACAAGGACTACTAAGGTTGTAGCATGCCATACCTTGTTAGGCTATTATTGGATTTGGGTATTCTTAGTTAAAAGTATTGGAAATTAATACATTCTTAAAGGGTTAGTTCACCCAAAAATGAAAATTAGCCCATA